TCTAGGGGTCCTAGTTTTTGAAAGAGAAACTGTTAAGGTGAAGAACATCCAAAGAGTGACCAAGATGGTGAAGGAATGCCAAACACAGCCACACGAAGATCATTTAAAGAAACCAGGAAAGTTTAATCTGGATAAAAGACTAAGTCAGGAAAACCTGACCACTTTCTTCAGTGAAGCATTCTCCTGTGGATGAGTGATCAGTCTCACTCTTAGCCCAGAGAGCAGACCTAGAAAGTCACAGGGAAGATTTCAGTTAGATAAAAAGAGAAAGAGTTGCCCCAAATGCAATCCCTGGAGGCATTCAAATAGAAACTAGACTCTCACTTTCTAGAAATATGGCAGATGAGACTCAAGCTTCAGTTAAGAGTTGGATTAAATAACCTCCAGAATCACTTCAAACTCCTGAGATTATGATTCTATGAAACTGGTAAGATCAGCTGATCACCTTGTTTCTGTAAAACAGGGGCACCAACTGATTACACTAAGCCATCAAAATGCCACAGCTTTTTAGGCATCTGCAAAGTACTAAGAAATGAGATGTTCTGGGTTAGAAGTAATGTGTGGCATATCTTTTTTCCTTAGTTATCCAATCACCATGGCCCTATTCTAAAACAAGTGGTACATAACAAACTGACTGTTAGAAGAAAAACAGATCAACAACAGACCGGCTCCACAATGTCCTAAATTAAAAGTGTGAGACTACATCCCCATCGAGTTTCACACAGAGAAGAAAGTGAAGGCTAGCATTACAGAAGAAAGGTCTAAGAGGTTACTGCCCTAGGCAAAATCAAACATTATGAGTCTGAATGTATGTATGTCCATGGTACGACAGGGCCACTGAGTAATAAGTGAGACACTTTATCAGATGGAAGGTATGAATGAGCAAAAGAGAGATGGGAAAGACAGATAATCAAGAATATACTTGTCTGAAAGCAAGACAAACAGACAACGCCTGGCTGAAGCAGCCTGGCAAACAAAGGCTATCAGCAAAAATGCCTAACAGCCAAAGGAAAGACGGACTTTTATTTCAGTGTTGGTAGGTAACCACACTTAAAACTGCCCAGAGTTCACAAAAGCCAGCAGTCCAAAGAGGCTGAGAACATTAAACACAAATACTATTCTATATACCTTCAATTCCAGACAATAGGTATTCAGTACATTTGTTAAATGAATGTTAAATGAACAAATAAACATTTATTTTAAAGTCACTAGGTTATATCACTGGACTCAAAATCATTAATGAGCTCATCTCTCTATAGAGGTATTTGCTCTTCTGACCATGTGGTCTCGTTCTAGCAATAGTAAGAAGAAAAAAGTTATTCAAGAACCAAAACTCTGAGTTCTCTCAAGGGAAGCAATGAGCACATAACCTTCTCCAAACAAAGAGATGTAAAGTCTATACCTGGAGCTAGCAGAATAGTATTTTCTTATAGGAGTGATCTAATGGTGTAAAATAACCCACCCAAGGGGTCACAGAATGTGTAAAAAGCAAGGTGAGAGAATCCTAAATCCTTCCCCCCGCCCCAAGAAATGCACTGTTTTGTTTATAACATTCTTTTCTTTTTAAATTTTGAGCTGCAAACTCTCTCCCTACTTCCTGCCTCTTCCTCACCCACTAAGAAGGCAAGCAAATGATATCAATTATACATGTGAAATCATACAAAACATTTCCCTATCAGCCATATCAAGGAAGAGAAAATTGTATTTCAATTTGCACTCAGAGTTCATCAATTCTTTCTCTGGAGGTAGATAACATTTTTTCATCAAGTCCTCTGGAATTGTCTTGGATCATTGCATTGAACAGAGTAGTGAAGTCTTTCAGGGTGGATCATCATACAATATTGCTGTTACCATGCAATATTCTCCTGGTTCTGCTCACTTTACTTTGCATCAGTTCATATAGGTCTTACCATGTTTCTGAAACCACCCCCTCATTATTTGTTAGGGCACAATAGTATTCCATCACAATCATATGCCACAACTTGTTCACCCACTTGCAAGCAATTTCCAATTCCTTGACACCACAAAAAGAGCTGCTATAAATATACGTCCTTTTCCTTTTTCTTTTGATCTCTTTGGGTTAAGACCTAGTAAAGGTATTGCAGGGTATGCACAGTATTACAGCTCTTTAGATATATTTCCAAACTGACGTTCGGACCAGTTCACAATTTCCCCAAAAGTTGATTAGGGCACCTATTTTCCCTCATCCCCTCCAGCATTTGTCATTTCTGAAAGCTGTGAAATGGCACCAGAATCCTTTTACGACACAAATATAGTCATAATACCTAAACCAGGTAAAGATAAAACATGGAATGAAAACCACAGGCCAACATCATTAATGATACATGAAAATTTTAAACAAAAATCTTATCAAAAAGACTACAGCAATTTATCCAAGAAATCATTCATTATGGTCAAATGGGATTTCTACCAGGGATACAAGGATGTTTCAATATTAGGAAAATAATCAACATAATCATATTATCCAAAATGACATGATTATCTCAATAGATGCAGAAAGACTTTGACAAAAATACAACATTGTTTTATGCTAAACATTCTACAAAGTATAGGCATACAGGGACCTTTTAAAAAAAAATCTCGCCAAAAATGTCTCTAAAACTATATGCAGTGGGAATACTCTAGAACCTTTTTCCAATAAATATGGGAGTGAAGCAAGGATGCTCACTCTCCCCATTGTTATTTGATATAGCTCTGAAAATGCTAGCAAAAGCAATAAGCTAAAAGAACAAAAGGAATAAATATAGGTAAAGAGGAGATAAAAACGATCACTGTTTACTGATGATGGTTAATAGGAAAACTCCAAGGAATCAGCAAAGTTTCTGAGAAAATTAATAGCTTCAGTAAAGCAGCAGGCTACAAGATAAATCTTCAAAAGCAAAAACATTTCTATATACAAATAACAAAACACAAAAACCAATGATAGAAAAGGAAATCTCATTTCAAACAACTAAAAAATGCATAAAATATCTGGGAACCCATTTCTGAAAGCAGACAAAGGACCTGAATAGAATCAATAACAAAGTGTTCTTTAAAGAAATAAAGAACAACTTAAATAGCTGGAGGAATATTCAGTGCTCATGGGTAGGCTTTGCCAATATAATAAAAATGACAATACTACCTAAACTAAGTTACACCTTAAATGCTATACCAATCAAATCATCAAGGTTATACTTTACACAGCTTGATAAAATAATAACAAAATTCCTTCGGAAAAACAAAAGGTCTAGATCAAAAGAAATGATGAAAACTAAGGACAAAGGTGCAATAGCACTTCCAGACCTCAAACTATATTATAATGCAGCACTCATCAAACCCTTTTGAAAAATTTATCTTACATTTATTTTATTTATTTTTGGTTACATTTTGAGTTCCAAGTTGTCTCCCTTTCTCCCTCCGAATTCTGCATTAGAAAAGGTCAACATTTGATATAAATATGTATGCAAATCACACAATGCATATTTCCATGTATCAGTTCTTTGTCTGGAAGTAGAGAGCATTTTCTTTCCTAAGTCCTTTACGGTTAATTTGAATGTTCACATTATTCAGAATGGCTAAGTCATTCATGGTTACTCTTCAAATAATATGCTTACTGTATACATTTTCTTGTTTCTGCTCATTTCACTCTGCATTATTTGATGCAAGTCTTTCCATATTTTTCTAAAATCAACCTTCTCATCATTTCTTACCAAAAAACAAAACAATGCAAAACAAAATCTGGTATTGGTTAAAGAATAGAGAAACAGACTAACAGAAACTAGACAAGGGAAACCTAAGAAACAACAGACCTTAAAACCCAGTGTTTGATAAAATGTTTAATATAAACTACCTAGGGGGAAATTCACTATTTGATAAAAACTGCTGGGAAAACTGGAAAGCAGTTGGCAGAAATTAGGCTTAGACCAACACTTTACACTACACTCCACAATACATTCTAAATGCATATATAACCTTAATATTAAAGGTCATTATTTTTAAAAATTAGAAGAGAAACAGGTTATATACCTCTCACAGCTATAGCTAAGAGATATATATTAAAATTACAAAAGATACAATTGCAAAAGATAAAATGATAACTTTGCTCAAAATTGAAAAGCTTCTGCACAGACAACACTAATACACCTAGGATAAAAAGGGAAGTGTTTGAATGGAAAAAAAAAAATCTTTAGATTGAATTTCTCTGATAGGGTTTAGTATCCAAGATATATAAACATATATTAAATATATATAAGACTAATAGCCATTCCCCAGTAGATAAATGGTCAAAGGATACGAACAAATAGTTCTTGAAAGAAGAAATGTAAAAAGTTCACAACCACAAAAAAAAAATGCTCCAAATCACTAATAATAAAAGAAATGCAAATCAAAACAGCCCTGACGTTTTACCCCACACTCTGACAAATGGCAAAAATAACAAAAAATGGTAATAATCAAAATCAATGTTGGAGGTGTTGTAAAAAAGGTAGACATACTACTACATTATTGGTAGATCTGTGAAATGGTATAGCCTTCTGGAAAGCAATTTAGAAGTATGTAAATAAAATGGCTAAAATGTCTATACCCTTCTAACCAGAGAGTCTATTACCAGTCTTATTCCCCAAGGAAGACATCAATAAGAAAAAAGTTCCCGTATGTTCTAAACTACTTAAAGCGGCATTTTTTGTGTTAGCTAAGAATTGGAAAGAAAGTAGATGCCCATCAACTGGGAAATGGCTGAATAAATTGTGATAACTGAATGTAATAGAATTATTATGGTACTATAAAAAATTATATTTGTGATAAATACAGAGAAGAATGGAAAGATCTATATGAATTTATGCAGTGAAGTCAGCAGAGCTAAGAAAACAATATACACAGTAACTACAACAATGTAACTGGAAGAAATGATACAGTAAAAAAAATCAAAGGTAAATGTAACAAAATTATAAAGATCAAAAGGGATTCAAATACAGACATATGAGAAGACATCCCCAACCTACCCTTTCATGAAGTAGCTGGTCCACAGGCATTATATATAGCACATGTTTCTGGACTTTGTCAATACATCGATCAGCTGTGCTGATTTGCTTGGGGTGGGGTTTCCCTCTCTCTAAAAAAAAATACTATTTGTCATATGAGATGATTCTCAAGGAGGGAGAGGAGGAGTGACACATGGGATACCATGGTAATGTAAGAAACAGAAAATATCAGTAAAAACTTTTTTAAAAGGGAAAGGGGAAGGCAAAAGAACAGAGTCTGCAATCATGGCAGACATAAAGAACAAAAGCAGATTCTGAAAAACAGACTTCAAATGTTAAGATATTAGATCTTGAGAGTTTATAGCAATTTCTTACCAACATAATCACAAGAGCTACTTCCCTCAGCAAGACTATATAACAGGTTACTGAGTACTTTGAGAACTATAGATTTACCTAAACTATGTAAGTTTTGCACAAGTTTGATAAAACTATAGCATTTATTGTGTCTATAAGTGAAACAGAGATGAGACAGACAACTGTCCTGTCACAATTCACACATCAAGCCCTGAAAATAGTAACCTACTCTGACCCTTCCTGTTCCAACCTGAGTAAATCCTAGGTCAGTAATTGCTTTCCCAATCAATCAAGTCAGTCAGACAAGCAACTGGCATTTATTAAGGGCCTACCTGCTCCATGCCAGGTACTGTGCTAAGCACTGTGGATACAAAGAAAGGTGAGAGAGTCCCTGCTCTCAAGGAGCTCACAGTCTAAAGGGGAAAAAACATGTCAATGTGATAAAGACAGAATAAATCTGAAACAATCAACAGAGGGAAAGTACTAATATTAAGTGGGATCAGGAAAGGTTTCTTGCAGCATTTTAGCTGAGTGAGACTTGAAGGAAGTCAGAGAAGCTAAGAGGCTGAAATGAAGTGGAGATAGTCAGTGAAAGCACTCCAGAGTTGGGGTGATGGAATGTCTAGCGAGAAGATCAGCAAGGAATTCCCTGTCACTGGATTGCTGTGTGTGTGTGTGAGTGTGTGTGTGTGTGTGAAATACAAGATGTAAAAAGACTGGAAAGGTAGGAAAGGAAACAGGTTCTGAAGGGCTTTATAAAGCCAAATGGAGGATTTTCTATTTGATCCTGGAAGCAATAGGGAGCTAGTAAAGTTGTTCACATGGGAAGTAGCAGGAGGGGTGATGCGGTCAGACTTGCACTTCAGGATGGCCGTAGTGAAGAGAGATTTGTAATAGGCAGACCAACTAGCAGGCTACTGCAATTGATTTCCACTTAGTCAGTTAACGACGTACTGTATTTGGGGGCGGTGAGTGGAAAAGAGGCCTCTCCTCCTACGTTTTGGGGTGGGGAATGGAAACTCTTGCCGCCAACAGTCTCAGATTTCTCTGGCACTGGGTTAGATGCCCTGCCTGTAATCACACAGACAGCACATGTCAAAGGCAGAACCTGAGGCCAGGCTTCCCAGATCCACAGATGGCCAGCCATCTTAGCACAGTCTTCCTGCCCATAGCTTGCCCCCTACTCTCCTCACAGTTCTTTAGGCTTCTTCTGCCATATCATAATCCATATTTAAAGACTCAGTCTGGGCCCTCTCCTACTCTCTCTCTATGATCTCTCTGACCATATCACTTGTTGTCATTCAGTCGTGGCCAACTTCTCACGATCCCATGGACCCCACCAGGCCAGACCCTTCTAGTCTCCACTGTATCTTGACATCTGTCCAAGCTCATGTTTGTTGTTTCCATGACACTATCTATCCCTCTCATCCTCTGCTGTCCCTTTCTCCTTTTGCCTTCAATTTTTTCCAATATCAGGGTCTTTTCCAATTTTCTCATTATGTGGCCAAAGTACTTAAGCTCCAGCTTCAGTACTTGACCTTCCAGTGAATAGCCTGAATTAATTTCTTTAAATATTGACTGATTTAATCCTGCTGCTATCCAAGGGACCCTCAAAAGTCTTCTCCAGCAACACAATTTGAAAGCGTCAATTCCGCGGTGCTCAGCTTTCCTTATTGTCCAATTCTCACAGTCATGCATTGTTACAGGGAAAACCATGGCTTTGCCTATATGGAACTTTGTCAGCAAGGTGATGCCTCAGCTTTTTAGTATGCTGTCCAGATTTGCCATAGCTTTCCTTCCAAGGAACAAGCATCTTTTAATTTCATGCCTGTAGTCTTTATCACTTACACGGGTTCCATTAGCTTCTCTATAGACATGACTCTTTGATCAAAACATCCATCCCTAATCTCTCTCTTGAGCTCTAGTTATGCATCACCAAATACCTACTGGACATTCCATACATCCATCTGAATGAATATCCCACAGGCATCTCAAACTCTACATAACTAGAACAGAACTCACTGCCTTTTCCCCAAACCTCACCCCCAGTCTGAACTTCTATTTGCGCTCAAGGCATGAACAACCTTCTGGTATCTCAGGTTCACAACCTGGAAGTCGTTCTCAATTCTTCCCTCTTCCTCCCCCATCTCCAATCAGATGCCCAAACTTACTGTTTCTACCCCTGCAGTATCTCCTTCTCTTAACTTGCACAGCCCCCACCCTTATTCTGGTCCCCATTACCTCTCATCTGGACTAGTGCAACTGCCTTCTAACTGGACTCACTACCCCCAGGCTTTCTGCTGTCCAGTGCATCCTGCACACAGCAGCCCAAGTGACATTCCTAATACACAGGACTGACCTTGCTATTCACAACTCTGCCCCAAAAGCTCCGGTGGCTCTCACCTGCACCTAGGGTAAAACGAGTAAATGCTCTGGTGACATTTAAAACCCTTAACAATCTGGCTTCATCCTGCTTCTCCAGACTTATTCTATATCATTTTCCTTTGTGCATTTTAAGGCTCACTTAAACTGGCCTCCTAATCGTTCCTCAGCCACAATCCATTTCCTCTTCTTGGCAATGCACTCCCTCCCTTATCTCCACCTCACAGAATCTCTTACTGCCTTCAAAACTTCACTCAAGCACCAGCACCTCCCCAGCTGATTCAAAGTCATCTCTCCTTCTGCCCCCCCCCCCCCACCGCCGCCGCCACTACCGCCTACAAGAGGGAAGGGACTGATTTATGTGGGGTTTTGCATTTTTGGTGCCTACAGCATAACAGGCCTTTTAAAAGTGTTGTTTAATTTAATACTATCAAAAGTCAAGCTGGTTTTCTATATAAAATTTGGAAATGTGTATTTTCAAAGATTTTTTAATCCTTAATTCTTCTGGTATTTCCACTAAAGTTGCTTGTCCAATTCCCTCTGTATCCTGCAGGTACTTCATGTTTACTGAAAGGAACTGAATTCCCATTTAAAAGTAGGACAGCATAAAAAGTGAATTATCCAATTTGCAACTTGAAGTTTCCAACCAGCCAGACCCTAGAAAGTGCGCACCTGTCTACTGGCTATATCGATATTTATTCAGGTTAACAAGTGAAGATATGAAGGATACGAAGGTACAAATCACACTTCAGTCAAGTCAACAAGGACTGATTAAGCGCTAAATGCTGGGGACAGAAAGGCATCCTCTCCTCTCCTCTTCTTGCTCCTGGACGAAAGGGTCAGTTGCTCTATTAGTGGAAGTGACCAGCCTCACTCCCGTCCCATGGAGAGGGGAGGCCTCCTGTTCTCCTTCCCAGGGAAAGCTTGGGGCTTCAGCATCAGTTCCACTCTGCTACATATAGAGAACAAGAATCCAATGACTCAGGTCAATCCACAGGTCCTTACTCTCTTATTCTCTCTCTATACAGACTCAAAGGCCCCCTTTCTCTATCCACCTAGTGCATTCCTAATGTGGTCAAGGTCTTCCAGAGTAGGAGCAATGGAGTTCCTGCCCCCCTCAAAGCCTGAGAAACCAGAACCACATCAATCATCACCTATCCCTACTCTGACAGGTGGTTTCCATACAGGGATGTCTACAAAAGCGTGTGATCCTCTCCTCTCCTTTCCCTGGATCTCTGGCTGGACAGCCACACCTGGTATACTTCCACTTGCACCCTAAGATTTAATCCAAATACACAAGTATTTGAGGTCCAGCTCAGCTTTAGTAGTAGCCAGAGGGCTGAACTAGTCACTAAAACAAACTGTAGAGTAACTGGAGTCAATAGCATTAGAGGCAGTTTTGTGTTACAGTGGATGGACTGCTGGGCCTGGAGTCAGGAAAACCTGAATTCAAATCCAGCCTCTGATATTTCCTAGCTGTGTGAACTTGGCTAAGTCACTTAACCACTGTTTGCCTCAGTTTCCTCATCGGTAAAGTGGAGATAACAATATCACCCACCTCCCAGGATTCAGAAGATCAAATGAGATAATAATTGTAAAGCACCATGCTGGCACTCAGTAGGCACTATATAAATACCAATATGTAAAGACCCACCTCCACCACCTGAGTGGATGTTTCAGTCATTCAGTCTAGCAGGCACATTCCTAAGGGCTGAATTGCAGCTTACCTCAGTAGCCCAAATGATGCGCCATCATGGCTGGCACAGAATGGCAGCATCTGCCCTTTGCAGAAGAGGAACAGCAGTTACGCGGGCATGGAACACACAGTTCTATAAGTGCTCGTCTGACCCTCAGGACAACACTGTTCAGTGAGCCATTCCAGTATCTTAATTCCTTTTCTCCAGGTGGAAAACCAAGGCTCAGACCTGCCCAAGGCCACACAAGCAGTGAGAAGCAGAGTTAGAATTCAAACTCAGATCCTCAGACTCCGAATTCAACATCATCTCCACCACAGCCTTAGGCTTTGTGTACGTTCATAAATGGTCACAAGAGACAAGGTCTCCACACATGGCACATGTCAACATTTCAATAACGATGAAATCTCACTGTCTCTGATGGGGACATAAGAAGAATCCTTTTTTTTTTTTTGGAAGGATGAAAAAGATGTGCAATAACGGAGAGGTCAAGAATGTTTCAGGAAGCAATGCACTATGGTATGCACTACGGTTTTCTATGTTTAGCAAAACTGATAAAAGTTCAGAAGCATCTTATGAAACAAGAGTGATAAAGACAAAATGAATTTGGAGCTTACCTTATTTACAATTCCTACT